CTCTTGATCCTGTGTTTGTGATAGTTCTACTAAACAGCGTACCGAAGGATGTGAGACATCAAATTCTCTTAAAATCGAGTTTCCATCATTAGTAAGCTCTACCATACCACCCTTATTAATAACCATCTTATACATTGCTCTTGGTCCTAGACATGTCTTTATTACACCACATATGTCTTTTGCTGCTTGTGCACTTGATAGTTGGATCGAATTAGGATCATTTTTAGTTAAGATATAAGCCTTCTGTTGTTTCTGCATTAAATTAAGGATAAAATTTTTAAAAAATAAATTTAATAAGCATAAACATTAAATACTCTCTAAAATTTTAACTCTAATGAAGTAAATGGAGCAGCCTTTATTTCATCTCCTAATTTGATCAGTGATACTAATGAATCTTCACCACCAGATGCAATAAAGTCTCCTCTGGGAGATACATCAACAGTATTAATTGTACCATAGTGGTTTGAATAGAATCCTATCTTATCACATGTAGTGACATCATAGAAATATGTGTCAAAATATGTTTTTCTGTAAGTAGTTGTTACGTTTCTAGCGTATTCTCCTCCAACTGCAATGATCATTTCATTTTCAGGATGAATTACGGCTGAATTGACAGGCTCGTCAGATTCAAATCTTTTAATGATTTTAAAAGTTCTTGTGTCTATTATTTGAAAGGAGAAATCAGAACTAGAAGAAACAAAGAATGAACCACATTGTGATGGAGCAAGTCCAGTAACTTCCTTGTGGTGTATTTTCTTCACATTAGTAATCTTTTCGTTTCTCAAATCATACTCATAAATATTTCCGTTTTTATCACTAACAATAAGTTTATCATCTTTGTTAAAAATATTTGTAAATGAAACTTCGCTCAAGAAAACAGTATTTACCATCTTGTATCTCAAGTCTATTAACCCAACTTTACATTCTCTATTTAATGAATTATCTGTACAAAAATAAAGCTTTTCCTGACCTGATATGCCACGTATCAAACTATCACATTTGAATGTTTGAATTTGATCACCTGTCGTTATGTCCCAATTTTTAACTGTAAAATCAGATGAAGCTGTAATTAAATTAAAGTTATTTGGTTCTAAAGTCAGCACATTACCGTTATGACCTTTGAAAATACCCAAAACATTTGGTTCTTCTGTTCTTATCATTGATATTTGGTTATCTTTTGAACATGCAAACATTAAATCTCCATCTTTATTAAATTTTACTTTGTTTATTGGTTTTGAATGAACTGTACTCACATATTTTGTACTCTGCATACTTGACTTAGCTGGTTGAAAAGGGTTGAAATTTTTTATATAAAAATAATTTCTTAGTCTTTCATATATCTCAAAAAAAATTTATTTTTGACTAGATGGCCGAGTGGTCTAAGGCGCTGTGTTAAGGTCGCAGTTCACGAAAGTGAGCACGGGTTCGAACCCCGTTCTAGTTATTTTATAAATTTTATAATTTAATTATATTTTTAAATTAATTAAATATAAATTATTGCTTTTTTTCATATTAAAATAAGTAATATTAATTTTTAATATATTCAGAAACGTGTTTGTTTATTTTAACCATTTTTATAATAAACTAGTGATAAATGTATGTCGGGAATTATAAATATTTTAATAAATTTTTTACCAATGAAATTAATTGACATCGACAATGTATAAAATATTTTTACTTCTTTTATTTTTTTATGTCGGAGGAAATCGAATATTTTAAAATTTTACAACGCAGACGGAAATATTACAACATTTTCATATTTGTAACATTAATAATATCTCTTTTACTACTTATAATATTACTATATCCCTCTTATTTTACAGATTTTGGAAGGAATGAGCATACTTCAAATAATACTATTAATCAAAACAACAACTTGAATTCATCTCTTACTACAAACAGTACAACAAATGTCTTTAAAAGGACAATCGATAATATAATATGTTATTTAAAACTAGCATATAGGAATTTTACTGATGGATATTATTATGTTTTAGATTGTTTACTTTATTAAAAACTAACTAACTCTAATTTAAATTTAACTAACAATAAAAATTTATAAATTTACTTTTTTATTTAACTTCCCTTGATATGAAATTAGAATTAATAACTCTTATTACAATTTTTTCATTATAATTGATCTTTTCTATTAAATTATCATATTCCATAACATCTATTATGGTTGAAAAGTCCTCCTCTGATATATTCACTGATAAAATATTACTGTTTTTCAGTTTTGTTAAAATTTCAGTAACTGTAAATAATTCACCAAAGTTTGGCAAGTAGTGTGAATCGTTTTCTTTAGAAATTATTTTTAAAATAACAACCATTAATTTTTCCACCAAATCAATATCCACTTCATTGTTTTCAAAAAAGATACCCCCTGTCATTTTTTCATCAGGCATTAAATCATACAAGACATACATTTTCCTATTGTTTTTAATTGATTTGAGTCCTTTGATTTTATTAGAAACTTCCAATCCTTTGAGTATTTTTAATAAAAGTGCATGAGGGATATTTGACTTATTTTTTATATCTTTAATCCAAACCCCCTCAGAGCCTCCTTCTTTCAAAATATTTAAAATCATAGCTTCGTAATCATTTTTCATATCTCTTTTAGCTTTATAAAAAACACCACCTAATGTTACACTAACTTCTATTTTATTTGCAGAAAGCAATTCATTAAGTGTTGAGGCAATATCAATCTTTTTAATTTCTGGAAAGTTTTTTGTAATCATGTCTTCATTGGCGCCATCTGAAACTTCTTCCAGATATTTAAACAATTCTTCTTGATTTTTCATTTTTATTTTTTAACTAAAAATTTTTTAAAATGAATCAACCAGTTTCTTTATTTGATTTTTACTATCATAAATCTTTATATAAGTTTTCTTCACTACCACTTTCTAAACAATTAAAGGCTTTATCTACTTATAAGATTTTAGTCATTGATTTGTGTGGGTTTTATACCCTATGCCATTCACTGTTTCCAGAGTCTACTACAGTTTTTCTTGCTGACTATTCAGATATTGAAGAATTAATTATTTTAGTTAATGATTATGATGTTATTTATGTAATATTATGTGCTGATAAGATAATTAACTTTCCTTTTAATCATATAAAAATTATTTTCGATAAGAAGAAAATTATTAATTATTGAGCTGTTTAATGTAAATTTATTTAAATAAGATTTCTTGAGAAGTATGACATAAATACTTGTCTTATTTCTTTATTAGTAAATTTACCTTTAGTTATATTATTAATAGATGTTATTAATGCTTGTATTGTGTTTAATAATTGTTTTGGTGGTATTATACTTTTATATTTATCTCTTAGTTCAATAAAAATTTGTTGTACTAATTTTTCTATTAAAGAACTGGTATAATCTTCTACCTTGAAATTTGAACATGCCTCTTTAATAATTGTATATTTATAATCACCATCAGTATCTATATTTATAATGTATTTTAAATTGGCGAGTGATGAGTATTTCTTATTATCTTTATCACTTATATGTCTAAGACATACTAAATTATCTGATCTTGTCAAATCCTTAAGTGTATATATTATTTGTACGTTAGATATAAAGTTTCTACATGCATGTTTGAGATATTGAACATCGTTTGTATATATTATTACTTTCATTAGATGTTTTGTTTCTTGCTTTATATTAGTAACTGTTGTAGTTTCTTGTTCGGGTGTACTTATTAATTGTTCTGTTGATTTTAAATTACTTTCCATATTAGTTAAATTATTATTAAAAATATTTAAAACAATTATCATTTTTTTATCATCCTTAGTAACATCTCTTTTTAACACTTTAGAAGTAAAATCAGTAAGATATGCTTCTATGTTTTGTCTCTAATTTCATATGGTTTATGTATATTCTTATCTAATATAATGGAATCAAGTATTTCAAATGACTTATAACCTCTACTGCTTCTATAAAAATAACCTATTAAAATGTCACTAGTAATTGGTGTTCTATAACTACTTGTTGCAAGATAGATGCGGTTTTTATAGACCATTGCATATGTATAAATAAACTTTAGATTTTCATTTACTGTTACCAGTGTTGACTTACAAGTCCTACAAATCCTTTTTTCTGATTCAGATTCAACGATAAATTTCTCATTAATAAGATACTCATAATATTTTTGATTTAGATAAACCTTACATGTTTTATTAGGGCATCTACTATTAGGACAAATATAGAACATATCATGATATAGTTTTTTCTTATTTTTATAAAATATCTTGCTATTTAAACTATTCAGGTACATCTGATTTTCATTCTTCAATACTAATATATCACCTTCTTCTGTAATCTTTTGTTTTTCAACATACTTTATACTAAAAATATTGTAGATAAAACTTTTAAATCTATATGTTACAATATAAATATCACTTACTGTCATTATCATTCCATTACTATAACAAGGAAGTCTAATTATTTCAATATTTTTATACCCGAGTAATTTTAATACTCTAACTATATAAGATGATAATATTAAAAAAATATTTTTTTCTATCTCATTAAAGTTTTTGATTATCATTGAAGAGTTAGTGTTAACTTCATTCATTTGCAATAGATCAATATCAAGTGTGAATATTAGTTTAGAAATGAGTATGTTTTTGTCAATAGAGTTGAGGGTTACTGTTATAATATTGCCTATGTTAAAATCTATTATATCTCTTGCCACTCCATTTTCAATACATTTTGATAGTTCATATAATACCTGCTTTAATGCTGCTTGCATATAATTAATGCAATGTTTGTATTTATGTTAATTAAGCTTAAATTTATTTATTTTAAAACGCTTTTTCTTTGCCTTAAAACCACCTCTCCTTGTATTAATTTTATATTTAAAACTCTTTTGAACATTTTTAGTTTTATCCTCTTTTTTCCAACTAAAGTCGTAAAATGTATTAAACAAATCACATCTAGCAGCTAAAATAATTTTATTAGCTAGTTTTCTTTTTTCCTTTATTTCACTCATTTAAACAACTTCCCAATTTTTTATTGACTGGGAATGCATGTCAGCCAATTTTTGTAAAGTAACCTTTCTAAACAACTTTTCTAACTCATTTATACTTAGCAAACAAAGTAATGATTTAAACTTAAATAATTTACTTTTATACTTTTTAAGTTCTTTTAAAAGTATAATTAATTTTTCTTTTAAATTTTCAGTATTTAAAGTTTTAAATCTCTCTTGAATAATCATTTCTTCTATGTTTACACACTCATAATTTTCTATTTGAAAATTTTCAGAAATGTTTGTTGTGTCTATCTCAACATTCAATATTTTATTAATTTCCATCTCTATTTTTTGTTTATTCATTTTAAGCCCATGATTGAGATAGATTTTAAAGAACCAACACTAGAAACATATGACTTAATGAAGACAGCAATAAGAACGGGAGATTTTAAGATATTTAAACAACATCTCATAGATAATATGAACATTACATTGTATAAGAAGATGGCTACAATTGGACTATTTAAAGAAGTAGCTAAAGACATTAAAAAGATGCAAGATGGAACAAACAAAGTTTTAAAGGAAATTAATAAAGATGATAATGATGATAGCATTCTTGAATTAGCGGAGTTTTACGCTAAAACCTTTAACATGAATCAGTTAAAAGAAGAATTGTTTAAATTAAATGAAACTGATTCGAATACAAGTTTAAAAATGGACATAGCTTTATGTAAAATTAGAATGTCTATAATATTAGAAGATTCTGAAAAATTAAAACAGAATATTAAAAAGGCTGAAAAATTAGTTGAAGATGGTGCTAACTGGGATAGAAGAAACAGGTTTAAAGTTTATAATGGTTTATATCATTTAATTAATAAGAATTATGATCAAGCAGAACCATTACTTTATGAATCATTAGCATCCTTTGAAGCTGAAGAATTACTTTCATTTGATAGAGTTGTTATGTATCTTATTTACACCTCTCTTTTGTCTTATAAAAGACCGTTGTTTTATCAAAACATACTTATTAATGGTGATGTTTTAAAATATAGAGAATTTTTAGAATTCCCCATGGCTTTATATAACTGTGAGTATGGTAGTTGTTTTAGTAGTCTCAAAAGATTTATTGATATTAACAAAGAAGATGTATTTCTGTCACCAATAGAAGATGAATTTGTAGACGAGATGAAAATATTGTGTTATAATCAGTTCTTATACAGTTATCAAACAGTTGAAATTGGTAGAATGGCAGAATCTTTTGGGATAACAATAGAAGATTTAGAATCAGATTTAAGAAAATTTGTATTTAAAAATCGTTTAACAATTAAAATTGATAGAATTGATGGAATTATTCACGTTGATAACATTATGAGTGTTTCTGAAAATAACGACGATACTGAATGTGAGGAAACTCTCAGGTATGTACGTAAGCAAATTATTTGATTAAATTCTTTTAAAAAAATACCCCTTATTACATTTTTATGGTTAAAAGAAATTTACTAAAAGATTCTATTGGGATTAGTTCTATGGGAATACAAGCGATGTTAGATGACGAGTATAGAAGAACTTACAGGCCGTATAAAATTAAAACAGCGAGCAATATTGTTCTTAAATGTTTAAGTGTTATCGTTAGATTTTTAATCTTATTTCCTTTCAGATTGTTAATATTTTTATTTATTTTAGGTCCAATTATGCTTATTAGTTTAATTTATAAACCTTTCTTTATTTATGCGTTAAAAGTAATTAATTTTGGTTTAGGATTGTTCATTGTACATGTTGGAGAGAAGAAAAGATTGGACCAATCTCATGTTTATGTTGCTAATCATACTTCATTTTTAGATTATTTAATAATATCATCTCATAAATTTCCACAAACTGCAATTGGCCAATCATACAATGGTATTTATGGTGCTTTTAGTAACTTTATAAGTAAATCTAATAATTCTGTCTTTTTTGAAAGAACAGATAAGAAAGATAAAGATTTAGCTGTTGGATTAATTAAACAGTATATGACTGATGATAAATCATCGTTATTAATTTTTCCTGAAGGAAAATGTAATAACAACAAATATTCAACACTCTTTTTTAAAGGATCTTTTGGATTTAATATTCCTGTTATTCCTGTTGCAATTAAATTTAAGAAAAACTTGGTGTCACCTGTTTGGTCTAAGAACATGTTTCCTGAACTACTTTACTTACTAACGAGATGGCGAATTGATGTTATTGTTACTTGGTTTGATCCAACAAAATTAGAAGAAAATGAAACAACAACTGAATTTTCTCACCGAATTAAGACGCTCATTTCAAATGAAGCGGAGTTAAAAAATACCCTTTGGAACGGGTTTATTCATTTTGATGAAAGTGAGAAACAAAGAACTGAACTGAAAGATTCTTTTATTCATTTTTATTCGAAGATTAGAAATTCAAATTTTGAATTTGATCAGTGTAAAGACTATCTTGATTTTTATTATCCGGTTGTTAATTTAAAAAATCAAAATTTAAAGAAATCAAAAATTTATTTTGATAGATTTTCCTATGAAGACGCATTTTTGGAAGTTAACAAAGAACTTCTAAGAAAAAAGTTTTGAAATAAATTTTTTCTTTATTTATTTTTTATTTAAATTTTTTATAAAAAATATGAAGAAAAGAACTTTGTTACATGATGCAGCTGAAATGGTAGGTCAAGCATCCCACGCTTTTATAGCTGATGATTTTAGTGATAGCTTTAAACATAATCTTCCAAGTTGTGAAATGACTTTCTTAAGAATAATTGGGATGTTTATTAGATATGTAATTTTATTTCCTTTAAAAATTACATTACTTTTAGTTATTGGATTAAAAATTTACTTCTTCTTCTGGTTCTCAACTTATTTTAAGTGTAAAGGTTGTATTCGTTTCTTTTATTTTTTATTTATGAAGCTTATAGTGTTTGTTTTAAATATTAGAATTAAACATCATGGAGTTAAACAACATTATGATTTCAACCATATCTATGTGGCTAATCATACTTCTCTAATTGATTTTATTGTTGTGAGTAGTTATAAATTTGATCACTCTTGTATAACCGAATATCACGGGGGGCTTTTTGGTTGGTTTATTGACAAAATTGTTTCTAAAAATGGTTCTATTTATTTTAAAAGATCTGATAAATTAGAAAGACAAAGCGTTTTAAAAAAAATAACTGAATTGGTTCAAAAAAGAGAATCACCCTTAATAATTTTTTCTGAAGGTACCTGTGTTAATAATACTTGTTCACTAATGTTTCAAAGAGGTGCTTTTGATGTTAATGCAGCCATAGTACCAGTGGGACTTAAGTATAAAGTAACTAAACAAATTAATCCCTACTGGAATAGAAGAAAATTAGGGTTAGTTTTATACTTATTCTATTTAATAACAAGATCCTCTATTGATGTTGAGGTACACTGGATGCCACCAATAAAACCAGGTATTAAAGAAACACCAGTTTCTATAAGTCATCGTGTTAAAAAGATAATCAGTGATAAATTGGGTCTGATTAATAAGCCTTGGAATGGTTATTTTAAAAGTTTAACTATGAAAAATGATTTTGATTTATTAAGTCACGCTTATAAAAATGTATACAAGTATATCAGGGAAGGAAGATTGGAAGATATAAATAAGCAAGACTTAAAAAATGGAATGAGTTATCTTCAACTTTACAAACCAAACGATTTTTATTATTCAAAAATCATTTATTTTAATCAATTAAGATTAAGTGAGTTTATAAACGAATGGTGTAAAGAATATTTGAGATTAAAAACACTTCCTGCCAAAGAAAGAGATATTATTATAACTAATAATATATCAGGCATACACACTTCACCACACTTGAGGAATATGAAGTTTAAAGGAAGCAACAGTAATTTTTCTATCGAATAAAATATTTAAGTAATTTATTTATACTTTCTACTGTCTTTTTTTGATAAAGTTTGTTTGTTTCTATTTCCTTTACCTCCTTCCCAAAATCTCGATGTTTTAGCTATCATGTTCATACCGCATGGACATTCTTTTTTAACACTTTGTTCTTTTGAACAGAGCCCACATACCATATTAGTTGCTAAATCTGCTTTATGTTTCATTTGCTTATTATGACAAATATCACATGGAAACAAATGATTACAACATGGAAACCTAAACCATCTCAATGACTTACTATAATGATCACATGCGCCTTTATTAGGAAGTTCTGTACCTTGTTTTATAGCAACCTTTTGTTTGTTAATCAATTGAATATTCTGCACACAAAATTTTATAAGTGAATGACATTCATAGCAATTAATAATAAAATTTTTTCTTAATGAAATAGGCATATTTTCATAGGCCGTCCCACACTCAGAACAACTAAATTGGTATCTTGAAATATCAAACAAAATTACATTTGCATTCTTAATATTTAAAAATCCTAAACTATTAGTGTTTATACATGGAAGGTATTTATACTCTATTAAAATACCACATTTAATACAAGAAGCATCTGAATCAATATTCTGAACAGTCTTACACCTTGTACAGGCCACTTTCACATTTAGTTTAATGCACGTGAAAAGTGAAATATTTTCAACTGATCTATCAAGGATAACGTTTGGGTTAATTGAATTAACAGGAAATTTAAAATTTGATGGAAGTTTTGTGCATGTCTTAGTAGATGATTTAATAAGTTCACTAAAATTCTGTTCAAGATAATCAACAAATTCTTTTATTGGTTTATTTTCTATCTCATTAAAAACCCTTTTAACACC